TTGCGTTGTTCTAAGCACTGCGCAGCGTTAAGGCCTGCCATGCCTGGCTCTGCCGACGCATGAGGTGCTGGAGGTAGGACAGCGTCAACTTCCGCAAGGGCCTCCGGAGGCCGACCTTCCTGTGTCACGTCCACGAACTGACTCTTCGGAAACTGGCCTTTCTCAAGAAGAGTTTTGATCCCCAGGAGTTCGCTTTCCGGAAACTCGGCCACGGTTGTCTCGGAGGGAGTTGCAAAACGCAGCTGTTCTGGTGAGCAACGCAACAGACTTCGCCTATGGGCCACAACCAAGTTACGACCTACGGAACCCAGGACTAGTCCTGCCCCGTACCAGCGGCCCCCATCGAGCCTTACACCATCGACTTGCTTTTGTGTCCTCCAATAGAACACCCAATCACCGCTGCGAAAGGGGCGAAGTGCACGAGGTCGCGCCCTCAGAGCAGCGCGAAGTGCGCGATCGCTCTGGCAATCAAGCACTGCTTTGCGAGCGGCTGTGCGGGTAGCCGCCGTGCGCTCCAACAAGGAGTCGTACTGCTCGGCGTCCACCGCCGGCAAGTGAGGACTATCTTGCATGAGATCACTGGGCACACGGGGATTGCGACCAAAAACAAGCTGGTAGGGACTCGCTCCTGCTTCAGTTAGTAACGTGTTTTTGGCGGACTGCGCCTGAGACAAACACTCAAGCCATTCTTCCTCAGAGGCGGGTCGGATCTCATCCAAGACTCGCTGCGTGATGCGACAAAGCCACTGGCCATGTCGCTCAACTTTGCCCAGCTGCCAATGTGCATCGGCTGCAGTGTGCCGCATGTCTATGCCGGCATTGTTACAGTAGTTACCTAGGGCTTCAGACAGGTTAGGCTGCGAAGGGTCAAGGGTTAAGGTCTTAGGGGGACCAGCCCACGACACCCAGTGTGCTCTCAAGGCCTCTCGGACGGTTTCGCCTGTCTCTACTCGTGTTAGTGGAACGAACACTTGCATGGATGTAGCAAAGTCTACCACATTCACACACGGCACCTTCTGACGGGGCTTCCATCCTGGCACATATTTTACATCTAGGCCTACCTTATCATTAAACTCAGTCACTACTGTTGCGTTTGCAGGCAACGGCGCTGTCGGGCGACTCTGGTTGGCACACACACTGCACTCGAGAGCGGACACGCGCTGAAGTGCTAGTCCTGAAGCACCGCTGTGTTTGAGGATGCGTGTGAGCTCTTTGGCGGAAGGGTGTCCTAGGTTGTTGTGTAGCTTTTGGAGTGCCTGGTCAACTCTCTGCACGAGCTGCGGGTCAGCAGCTTGCTGCGGTTCGTTAGGGAGGTTAGGGTCCTCTCTAGCTGGTGCTTCAGGTCTGAGGCGCGCGGGACGGGCTGCACCTGCTAGGCACTCACAGTCTAAAGCCTCCCAGTCTAAAGACTCACCCTGCGCAACAAACACCTCTCTAGGACACGATCCGATTTGCTTCCAGAGCATGCCTAAGAAACCAGGACAGCGTGCGGCGCTACAGCTACTCCTGCTAAA